AAACCCTAAACCCTAAACCCTAAACCCTAAACCCTAAACCCTAAACCCTAAACCCTAAACCCTAAACCCTAAACCCTAAACCCTAAACGCGCCCATCACATCACCCTAATCCCTCGGTGATGTGATGAGCGCGTTTTTCGCGACAAAGAATTGCTATTCTATTTCAGGCCGCGAGCAACCTTAAAGGGATCGCCGGAAAAAATCGAAGGAGTAATTTAAAAAATTCACAAATAGAAATGAAAAAAAGAGTCAACTTACATTGCTAATTCATGGGAAGAGGCTTGGATGAGAACATACATCATGCCACCTGAGAACAATAAGTCGTATAAACAACTGGTACGGCGCGCCGAGACGATTTTTGTTGGGATTTTTCTTGGCTGTCATGTGCTGCGCGAGTATTGACATGACAAGACGCATTTTATTGTGTGAATGAAACTGCATCTGTTCCGTGTCGTCAACACCGGGGTTGAATGATTGAGCACAGGTTCCTACGATATGTGTCCTGTCCAGTCATCCGTTTGTGTGTCAGTCTGTGACATGCTGGATGGCGACCACACACAGAGAGTGAAGATAAACACTCACTGTGTAAGCTGGTCATCCCTCATCTGACAGTCAGCACACCGACACACGATGCACACCGCAAAGGGAAACGACATCCAGCGCCCGATAGAAAGAGGGGCGCACCCATGCATACACTCACTCATATGTGTCACTTTGTCTGTCGACATGGGATCATCACACTGTCGCGTGTCTGTCCATTTCCGAGAGTGGACACACATACGCAGGAAAAGACCACATGAGACCACCCACGACTGGCGACAGCAGATCACTCTCTGTCTTCCCAATCAGTCGAACGGACAGATCGGTATGTGTGTGTGTCGGCATGCCTGTCTGTCTGTGAGCCGCCCGTGTGTGACGGATGCACCGACGAGAGATCAACACACTCTCGCCAACAAACGTCACCCAATGACATCGCACAGACAGACGGCAGCCCAGACATCATTCCACACAGCGACTCTCTGTGCAGCCAATCAGCCAATCGTCCTCTTCTCTGTCTGTCTGTCTGTTGACTCTCCTGTTATGTCTGTCTTGTCTCCTCTCTGCATCAGCCGACACGCTGAGGAGTGTAAGCAACAGAAGCATGACGATGCACAGACCGATGCAAGGCAGGAAAACACAAAGAACTGAAAGAATTCACTCAAGCTTCTTTGTTTGTGTGTGTCAGTCTGTCTGTCATAGCCCCGATGGCCACCGCACACAGAGAGTGAGGATCCACACTCACTGTGTCTGGTGACCAACTGCCTGGAGACAGCCAGCACACCGACACACACAGGTACAGCACATCGCAGCACCACAGCACCGAACCAAATCACTCTGTCTATCCCTCAATTGTGCCATCTCTCTCTTCCACCACACACCCAGTAGAAAGCCACACGAGATGTGACAATGCACCTTCCTCCAGCTAGACTGACAAGCTCACATACAAACCACGGCAGCCATCCCTTTACTCAGGACGGCACAATGAAGGCACCGCCGCGACACACAAAGAGGAAACGCCCACGAGAGAGACAAAGCGATTCAGTTTCAGTTAAGTCGAGTCAGTCAGTCGTCGACACATCGGCCGACACACCACACACACACACACGAGCAGCACTCAGCGGCCATCGTCAGCCGTCAAACCCGCCAGCCAACCACACCTGCACGCCACACAAACCACACACAGACAGACAGACAGACAGACAGATAGACAGTCGGCTGATTCTGTGCTGTCGTGTGTCACATCCATCCATCCATCCATCTGTGTGCGTGTGTGTCTGTGTGTGTGTGTGTCTGTGTGTGTCTGTGTGTGTCTGTGTGTGTCTGTGTGTCTGTGTCTGTTTGTCTGTCTGCCTGTGCACCGCCGCGGTGTTGACAATTTGATATAAAGGTTGACATGCACACGGATATGAGTCAGTCGTCACTCCAACTTACTTGATGCATCCATCGTGCAACAGGCTTACACCCGATCTGTATGTACTTACTCGATCGCCCCCCCGCCCTTCCCGATCAGTCGACTGCCCTTGCCTTGCACAGGCACTCCGTAAAAAAGGCACAAAGGGAACATTCTCACTCACGTGTCGTCACGAATCAGCCGAACACGAAGACCTTCTCCTCGCTGATCCTGCTGCCTTGTGTCAGTGCCGGCATGGCTCGTCGGTACTCGTCTGTAAGGCACCTCGCCTTGGCCCGCACGGCCTGTCTTCGCAACAGCGGGACCTAGCCAGAGACCCGTTGTAATGGGGCTCCCATATTGAGAGGAACCTCAGTACGCGGCCGAGAGGGCTCCTACACACACGCACACACACGCGCACACACACGTACATACACTGAGGCTGATGATCGATTCCGTCCAGCACCCACTGGGCAAGTCGTTCCCGCGCTTCGTCGAAGCGCAAAAGATGCTCTTCGCTACGACGAATCGACGCCTGCCACCGATGCTCACACACACAGGCGACATGCGGACCTGCACACGATGCATTGGCAGATGACGCATACCCTTGCCATCTCTACAACGGAGGGGGGAAGCGGTGCACGCGCATCGCTTGTGTAATGATGTGTGGCAGCTGATTGACAGCAAACCGAAGACAGACAGACGTATTGCCCGTGTGTGCGTGTGCGCGTCGCCTTACTCGGTCCTGAGTCGGGCAGCGAGCATCTGTTCGACGCCTGAAGAGCAAGTAAACAACTACCGCAGATACTCTTCCCCTCTTCCGTGACCCACTGCGGCCGACCTGTGCTGTTTCCCCCGTGTCCCCGTCAGCTTCGCGAGCAGACATACTTGTCCTCATCTTCGCCCTTGGCCTCCTTGGCTCAACTTGGATGTGATCTCTTGATCTTCGCTTCTCTTTCTGGCTCTTTTCCTCCTTCCCTTCATCGCCGCGGATCAGATCTGAGGAAGAACAGTGTGTGGTACAGACATCTGCACACACGTGTGTGTTTGTCCATCTCTCTCTGCGTACCAGTTGTTGGATTGCAGTGTCGTCGCCAACCACCGCCCCACCGCCCCACCGCCCCACCGCACACACCACACGACGCCTGCAGCACACCACACACAGACAGACGACAAGCAGCCGTCATCGGCGTGTCACACGTGGAAGCATCTCGTGGGTCGGCCGACCACAAGAAAAGAAGCGAGAGGATCTCGTGCAGTGGTCAGAAAGGCCGAGGGGTTAGGGTAGGGTTTCAAACCCTAACCCCCACGGTTGCTGCGTGCAACACTATGCCCTCCAATCAGTGTCTGTCCATCCACCCATCACTCCGTTCATCACCATCTCGTCTGTCTGTCTGTCTGTGCGCCTTCAACACCCACCCACTAATACAGCCACACCACACAATGTGTGCGTGGCCTTTCAATCAAACACACCAATCTGATCCACACTCAACCCGATGGCCGTGCGGATGTCATGTCGATGGGTTGAGCAGACGCACACACACGAGGCTACTCATACTCTATCATAAACAGCGTACATAATAACATCCAGTCGATGTGACGCAACGAAAGAAAGGCTCTCTGTGTCATTCATTCGTTCGTTCTGGTGGGGTTGATTCGGTCATAACACACAGCGCTGCATCGCACGATGGTCATCCACACACTTGCTGTTCTCTTCTGTGTCGGTCTGTCTGTGTGTCCTTCCTTGTCTTCTCTGTGTGTCCTTCCTTGTCTTCTCCAGGTCATGCACGTTACAAAGAAAGAGGCGTTCAGATACTACCTGAGGACACCGCCCATCGCACGTGTGTCGCCACCCACACAGCACAGCACTGCCACACACGACACACGTCGTGACACACATGGAAGGAAGAGACCCAACAGAGAAAGAGTTGCGAGCGCAGTATCCTGCAGGTACCTAATGAGAACACTGCTACTCCCCCTTCATCTTATCAAACAAGCAATCAATAGCCGTGCAAAACAACAGGCACATCGACCAGGCTAGGCTCACATCCGCTTGCCCATGACGCCTATGTCAGGATCCGGAGCACAGACAGAACGAACAGTCAGGCATCCTTCACCGGACCTATGCACACACACGGACAGGACAGAGCGATCGATCTCACACACATAAATGTGTGTAGGATATGTGTCGTGTCAGTCACGTCACGCACCTTTGCTGTGTGTTGCCGCATGGTCGACTTCCTGGCTGCCCTCGCGGGCACTGGACACAGGGGGAACCGACATCGTTGTCTGATTAGGTCGCGGTCGTTGGACCAACTCGTCTCCAGGCGCCATCGGCGTCACTGTGGCTGCCCCAGACCAAAACACACACACACACACACACACCGATCGGCAACCAATCACAAGGGATGAACGGCTAAAGACGTGTGTATGTGTGTGTCATTGATTCTACACATCTGCAGTGTTCGCCCACCTGATTGTGCTGACCCCTCCACGGGAGTCGCATCTGAGCAGACCAACCAACCACCACTCACACATAGGCATGCATATCCTGAATCCGCCCACGTGGCTCTGAATTACCGTCGACAAACATTTCGTAGTACTGTAGCTCTTTGGCATCGGTCCAAAGGGGACCAGAATCACCAGAGGGTCCGCTTCCCGCTCACCTCGACTGTCAAACGCTTCAAGTGCTGGCCTGCTGTCGCTCACGGGATCACAGCCACCGAACTGAATGTCCTCTGCCGACAAGTAGCCCTGTGCGAGGTGGTGGCAACGACAGACAGACAAGACACGAACATATTATATCTGCCTGCGCGGAACAGTGTGCGTGTGTGTGTGTGTGTGTCGTTGCTACGCACCGCGTATCGCAGTTGGTTGTCCAGGAGGTCCTTCTTGAACTCTAGCACTGTCCCCTGTGGATATTCCACACCCCACACCGTGGTCTGGGTGCTCCACCGCAGCCATATCGTCTCGGGATATATTTGATGATTGCTCCAATTGCCACCCATTTTCTCCCTGGGAGCGAAGCACGCGCAGCTGTCCTACAAGGCGCACAAACGCCGCACTTTGGCCTCTCGGGAATGGGGCTGTAGGGTAACAAACCCTTTGACCCCTCGTCAAACCCTCCGGCTCTTTCGGTTCGGTGCGGAGCCCTCCTGGCGGCTGTGCTGTGTGCTGAGATCTGTCCGTCGTCCTTTAGCGTCCACTTTGCCTTAATTGTCAGCTGAGGTCGGCTACACAGACGCACACACACGTGGCGAGTCAGTCAGGTCAGTGAGGGACACCTCGAGCATCGCCATGATGTCAGACCGCCGCTCTGCTCCGTGTGCTGCAGCTGTTTGTCTGTCTGTCTGTCTGCCGCTGAGGGCGTCGAGGTGGCTGACTTACCGCCGACTGCACTCGAACACCGCAGCGGTGCGACAGTGCGGTGCGCAGGCAGACACACACACACACACAGATGGGAGGGATGTGACACACGACAGGAAAGAGTCAGCCGACTGTCTGTCTGTATGTCTGTCTGTGGTTTGTGTGGCGTGCAGGTGTGGTTGGCTGGCGGGTTTGACGACTGACGATGGCCGCTGAGTGCTGCTCGTGTGTGTGTGTGTGGTGTGTCGGCCGATGTGTCGACGACTGACTGACTCGACTTAACTGAAACTGAATCGCTTTGTCTCTCTCGTGGGCGTTTCCTCTTTGTGTGTCGCGGCGGTGCCTTCATTGTGCCGTCCTGAGTAAAGGGATGGCTGCCGTGGTTTGTATGTGAGCTTGTCAGTCTGGCTGGAGGAAGGTGCATTGTCACATCTCGTGTGGCTTTCTACTGGGTGTGTGATGGAAGAGAGAGAGATGGCACAATTGAGGGAGAGACAGAGTAATTCTGTTCGGTGCTGTGGTGCTGCGATGTGCTGTGTCTGCGTGTGTCGGTGCGCTGGCTGTCACTTGTCTCATGGCTACCTGACACAGTGAGTGTTGATCATCACTCTGTGTGTGCGGTGGCCGTATGGTGTCTGGCAGACAGACTGACACCGCACACGTCGGGCACACAAAGGAAAGGCAAAGGCACAACTGTGACTCATAGTGCTGGCTGCGTGGCTGTCGTGTGTTGGTCGCTTTGTCAGTGGGCTCTCATACAAAGGTCTCGGTCTGTGCATCGTCATGCTTCTCTTGCTTACACTCTTCAGCGTGTCGGCTGATGCTCGACAGGCAGCCGTCACTGGAGAACAGACAGACAGAGAAGGGGACGATTGGCCGATTGGCTGCACAGAGAATCGCTGTCTGGGGCGGTGTGTGGGCTGCCGTCTGTCTGTTACAGTTCTGTGTGTGAGGGATGTTCGCGAGAGTGTCATTGATCTCTTGTCGGTGCATCCGTCACACACGGGCGGCTCACAGACAGACAGACATCTGTCCGTTCGGCTGATTGGAAGGGTGTTCTGTTTTCGCGAGCTCTGTGCCATTCGAGTGGGCGGGAAAGAGACAGAGAGAGTTCTGTTCCTGTGAGATGTCTTGTGTCTGTCTGGTATCTGGCGTGGCTTTCCTGCGTGTGCCCGGCTCTCTCCCGGCCTGTCTGTATGCTGACGATCGGAGAGAGTGTTTCCTTCTCGCCAGCTGTGCCCTGTCTGGTATTGACCGCTGCTGCAGTCAATGTCTTGTTTGCCTGGGTTTCTTCCTTCGTCAACCATACTGTGTCCTCCCCTCTCCCTTTGTGGGCACCTGTGGGCATCTCTCCCATTTGTGGGCATCTCTTTGTCCTTCTGGCAACCCTCGAGTATCAGCCCATGTGCGGTGTTGGTGCTTTGGGGTTGCCGGGTGGCGACAGAGATGCCCACAGAGGGAAATGGACACACACACGGCTGCTTACCCATCCCACGAAATAAGGCAGTAGGGGACGTGTCCTTTTGCCGTCCGTCCGTCTGAGTGTCACGCTTTTATGGCCACACAGACCGACGCGCATTTTGTCCCTTTGGCGGACCACACCGATGACTGCGTGTGGTGCTTTTGTTGGTGTTCCGTTTGTTGGACGTGATCGGTGGCTGATGATTGGCATCGATCTCACACGAGTGCATGTCATCGCTGTGAGCGCTGGATGCGATGTGTCTTTGTCTGTCTGTCCGCCGGTGCTGTAGATGGTATCTATCGTGTGTTGTTGTGCTTCGAAGATGCGTGTGTCCCTCCCTCTCTTTGTGGTGTGGGCATCTGAATTACCACTCACCAACACAACACAAGAGCATCAGCCCATGTCAGTCAGGTGTTGGTGCTTTTGGGTGTGCCTCTCTCTCTCTCTCTCTCTGTGCCGACGGGTGGCTGGGTGCCTGGCGCATCGCCAAATGAACTGACGCTTTTGTGTGTCCATGTGATTGGCTGCACAGAGAATCGCTGTGTGGGGCGGTGTTTGGGCTGCCGACTGGCTGTCATACTCCTGTGTGTGACGGTTGTTGGCGAGAGTGTGTTGATCTCTCGTCGATGCATCCGTCACACACGGGCGGCTCACAGACAGACAAGACAGACAGACAGACAGGCCGACGCACACACACATATGGATCTGTCTGATCGCCTGGCTGGGTGTCTATGTGGTGTTCGCCAGCTGTGTTCTGCATAGCATCGTGTGAGGTTTGCGTTCGTGTGTCTTCCCCCCCTCTCTATCCCTTTGAGGGCATCTTAGTGTCTCTGGGAACCTGAGAGTGGCAGCATGTGGCTGTGTCTGTCGCTCTTTGATGGCCGGGCGGCTGCCGAGATGCACACCAAGAGAGAGGGGGGATGGACGGACTGACACACATCAATAGTTCTCATGCGGCCACACGACCGATCAGCACTTTTGCTGTGAGCCATTCCTTTGGTCCATGTGTCTGTGTCCCTCTCAGTTTCCCTGTCTGTCTGTCTGTCTGTCTGTCGCTCTCCATGGGTGTCGGTGCTTTGGTTGCCGGGCGGTGACACAGATGCTCACAGAAGGAAATGGACACACACGCGACAGTGCAGTGTGATGATTCCATGTGATGATTCCATGAGTGGGTGTGTCTGGTACTCTCTGGGTGGGAAGGAGAGAGAGATGGGATGGGCGCACACGAGTGTGTGAGAGAGGTCTGTTTGCTTCCCGGTGTGGTGTCGGTGTGCTGACTGTAGACTTGCCGCCCGCCACCTCTCACACAGAGTGTTGATCATCGCTCTCTCTGTGCGGTGGCCGTCGAGCATCTCACAGACAGACACCACAGTGGCCGGCTGGATGCGTGGATGGACTGTCTCCCTCTCTTGTCATCCGTGTGTGTCGTTCGTTCATCGCCTGCGGACGCACGAAGAGTATACACACACGGACGGGTCTTTCTGCTTCACTCATGGCTCCTGCTCGGCCGCTTCTTTGTTGGTGCTCTACTGGACATCAATCAAAGAGAACCTATTTATTTGACATCGATGGGTCGAGTCATGCGCTCATCTCATCTTATGACAGACACGGAAAGACGTTAAGATGTTATGGAGATCAGAGAGATCATGCAGAAGTACAAGCGATAGTCTTGTCTGGGCTGGTGGGTGCGACAGTCTCCGTCCAGTGTGCCTCTGTGTCTGACTACATGCCTTCTGATAGACAGCAGCTGCCACTCTTGCCTTGCGCGTTGTGTGTGTCGTTGCCACAAAGACAGACAGTAGCCGTCATGCGCATGTGTGTGTGTGCGTGGGTCTGATTATGGGGTGGTTGGGGCTCCTCTACGTGCGCACACACAAAGCAAAGCGAGAGACAGAGTGCGAGAGAGAGAGAGACAGAGACACATGTGCCCGGCCTCTGTGTGGAAATCCACACCTCTATGTCTACGACCCTTCCTTCCTTCTCTCTGTGTCTGTTGCGCCTCGCTCTTTGTTGACCAGATGCCATGCATGCCATGGTTCATGTCAGTCAATCATTGTTCGTTCTGTACATAGGAGACAAAAGAAAGTGATCGATACATGCATGTCAGTCAACACATACTTGGAAATGAGTCAACGCCGGAGAGATCTACACACACGCATCGCATGACTCATGCCCGTTCGTCATCCACTTGCTGCTGTTCTTCCAGCAGCTCCCCGCCGCTGTCCCCCCTCAGTAAGCGGTACGCCCTGATGTTCCACAGCGGCCGCGTGCATATGTTGAACCACACCAGAAAGCCCAAACACCAATAGAGGTACGCGATGGCCGTTGACTCGAGAGAGAAGGGATGCCGATACAGAAACACACTGCATGTCATGCCATCCATCCATCCATCCACACACACTCATCTCTCTCTCTCTCTGTGTGTGTGTGTGTGTGTGTGTCTGGACGCACCTGTAAAGGGTCATGAGTGCGTTGAACAGGAGTGCGAAGCACGGCGCCATCAGCACCGTGGTAATCAACTTGATCGGCTCCGCAGGAGAAGACGGACGAAAGCACAGAAAGGGGAACCTGCACACACACAGATGGATCCAAGTGCGTCATCCATCCATTGCCTCACTCACCATGGGAAGGATGTGTCAGCGAGTTTGTTGTGCGCGTCAATGACGGCATCGCAGCACCGGCCGGCATATCGGAGCATATCGGGAAGCCGGATGCACAGCGCAGCGTAAGGCCCGACAATTCACTCACAGACGCGCCACGCAGACCTGAAGGACCGACGCACAGAGCCGTTGATGTGAGTGAGTGATACACACAGTTTGTTTGCATCCCCCTGCCTGCATATGCATGGTTCCCTGCATGCCTTACCGTAGAATGTATGAAGCAGCGTCTCCTTTCCAGATCCAGCAATGGCGGCGCGAACGAGGCGATGCGGAGCTCAACTCGGAGCCCTTCTCTCCTCGTTCTTTCACAAGTGCCGCAACCTCGCCCTAAGACATTGCGTGAAACTGCTCGCCCTGGGCGGAGCTGCGAGGCGAAAGCGGTGGAAATGCTGAGCAAGGGTCAGTTGTTGATATCGCCTCATACATATGCAGCTAAGAACAGGGCCAGGCTCACGCACCAGCACCAGCAGCATCCGAAGGACGTTCCGACGGGCGGACAGCCTCTAAACCCTCTAGGCACAGGCGTCACCGACAGGGAGGTAGAAGATGATGCTGATGCACCTGTTGGTGGAGATGCGTCGCCAGATTTGGAAGAGCATCAGCTTGGGAATGACTATGAGGCCGGGCCTCGGGGTGACGCCCGCGCCACGATTGCAACAGAGATAGAGTCTGTGCAGAACCAGGTGGGTGTGCATACACGCAATTAGGGCATGCAGCCCAGCCAGAAAGACAACGAGATGCAATTCATCCGTCGGTATGTCTGTCTATCATGTGCAGCTGGCGGCCCTTGACGCGCTGGTAAGGTTCTCGTCCCATGTGCCATCCGGCCACCAGCCCACACCGCCACAGCCACAGCCACAGCAGGCCACCTCCTCGCCGAGTATGGACAGGCCAGATCATGGCGACAAGGGCGTCTACGGGCGGGTCACTGTGAGTCATCGGCCCTTTGCCGAGTTGCCAGTGTCGCGGCAAAGGGAGCTTCAGCTGGGGGTCGGTGCTGGAGGGGTTGGCAGCAAGGGTGGGGCGATGGCGCCTGCCGTGCCGTCATTCAAGCTCAGCCTGCTGCCTGAGGTAGACATTGGTGATGCTGGTGCTGGTGGGGGTGGTGATGGTGATGTAGACGATACGACTGGAGGTGGGGGTGCTGGTGGCGATAGGAGGCCTCAGCGGTCGTCTCTCTTTGGCTGGAATAAGACGCCCCACGCACAGACCCCGACAGGATCAGCAGCAGCGGCACAGCCACCCAGCCCCCCTCTCCCTCCCCCTGTTCGGCCTGCTGCTGCTGCTGCTGCTGCTGCGACGGCGGCGGCCAAAGACATTGTCCTGTCGGCCTCTCAGCTGTCCACTGCCCAGAAGGACACCAAGAAACTCACACAATCCCTTTCCACCGGCACAGCGGCAGCTGCGGGCAAACCTTCTCCCCCTCTCCCCCCACCCGCACCAGCAGCACCAGCAGCAGCAGCCAAGGTGGTCCATCGGCAGCCCACAACAAAGCCGGTGCATCGTAAGACCACCACCCATCGCACAGTCAGCGTCGAGACCGACACTCCACCACCCACACACACGACCATCCCGCAGCAGCTGGCGGCCATGCGAGTCGACATGGATCGCGTCACCAAGGACCGCGACGAGGCGTTAGAGTGTCTGCTGATGCAGAAGTCGCTGGCTGCCGAGCTGATGAGGGAGAAAACCGACCTGGAGGGGCGGGTTGCGACGCTGCGTCGGGAGAAGGAGGGTGCCTGTGGGGCGAGGCGGCGTGTGGAGCAGGAAGGGATGCGGGCGAAGATTGAGCTGGAGGGGCGGGTGGGTTTCCTCGAGCAGCAGTTGGGCGAGGCTGAGAGGCGGTTCGCAGCATTGACCGAGGAGGCCGCCCAGTCATCCGCACAAACACAGGTCTGTGTCCGAACAGAGAGGGAACACGTACACGTACCCGCACGCAGAACTCCATGCATTGTCTGTCTCGTGTGTGTGTAGTCATTGAAGACCCAGCATAGCCACCACAAGCAGACTATCGAAAGGCTGACCAGCCAGCTGAGGGATGCTGAGAGCGAGAGAGACCGGCTGCAGAAGGAGAGTGCGGACGAGAAGAAGTCGCTAGATGGCCTCAGGAGCGCACTGCGGGACCTAGAAACAGAGATGGCCGCAGCACAGGAACGCAACGCCTCGCTCAAGGTAGTCGACACACCCAGAACACGCCAACACGGTCTCCTTGTGTGTGTGTGTGTATCATGCATGGGTGTGTTAGGGCGAGGTGCGTGCCCACGAGCAGGAGCGCCATGAGCTTCGGCAGCGCACCCGCGCTCTCGAGAAGTGTGTGGCCGACCTGCAGCTGCAGCAACGCCAGACAGAGGCTGCTCATGCCGACACAACTGCTGCGCTTGAAGCAGAGGTACGCCCACCCACACCCACACAGATACAGAGAGAGAAGGGGGCGCATTCTGCATGTTTTGGTGTGCGTTCAGATCGCCACGCTTCAGAGTGAGAATGCCCGCCTGGTTCGGCGGAAGGAGGCCGTCACGGCTGAAGGTGGCTGCCAGACGGACGGTGCTAGTGCTACAGAGAGGGAGAGGGAGGTGTGGATGTTAGAGCAACAGCTGATGGGCGCGCAGCAGCTCTCACACGAGCTTGCCAACCAGCTGCAGGCCAGCGAGACACGGATCCGCGAGTTGGAGGGCGACCAACAGACACAGAACGACACCTATGAGGAGGGCGAACAAGGAGGAGACGACGTGGGCGGCCTCATCATGGCTGTTGCGTCAGACGATGCCGCCGACGAGGATGGCCACCAGCAGCACACGCCAGGCGGCCACAGCCAGCCGCCCCAGCTGCGGCTGCGCATCATCCCCCCCACACACCGGTCCAGCAGGGACGAGGAGCAAGATGAGCATCAGCAGCAGCAGCTGTGGGGTGGTTGCACCGATAGAGACCCACTACCCGACCACACGCAAATCGCCGCACCGCCACCAGCAGCAGTCAAGGAAGACCAGCCAGCAGCGGAAGAGCAAGAGCAAGAGGACGATATGGCAGGTGTGTTGTGGGAGACGAGGAGCGAGCCGGCTGATGTTTTCTCGCGCAGCTGGGGTGGGGACAGCATAGAGGAGCAAACATGCCAAGACCGAGAGCCGCAGCAGGCTAGTGGAGTGGCAGCAGCAGCAGCAGCAGAAGAGGAGATCCTTCTCTCGTCGCCAGTCCGTCAAGCGCCGAAAGCAGAGAGGGATGGGGGTGCTGATAGTGGTGTTGGTGACGTGCCAGAATCGGTGGCTGCTGCTGCTGCTAGCAAGCGGCTGACTCTCAGCTCGGACCTCGCTCTCGGCTTCCGCCGCACACCCCCTCATCGCCCACCTCCTCCCGACCCAAGCTATGACTCAGGCCAGCCATCCCCACCTGCGCCCGCCCCCATCCCAGCCACCCCGCCCCACCTCACACCCCATACCAAAGCAGCGGACCTGACAGCACTCGAACAGCCCTCACCGGTGCGTACGGGCGGCACGACAGACAAGGTGCCGTTACTGCCGCCTTCGGCACAGCGGCCGTCTCCTTTTGCCGGGCATGTGAACCGGAGGCCGGAGGATGATTTGAGTGGGGGTGGGTCGTGTGTGTTAGGTGGCGGGAGAGGGGGAGGGGGTGGGGGTCACGTGACATCCTCCCCTCTTGTGCGTGTTGAGAGGGGTAAAAATGGGAGACAGACGGCCGTGAGATACAACTTCGCCAGGGTGTGAATCGGTGTAGAGAGTGAGTGTATGGGTGTGTTTGCGGACTGATGCATGATGTGAATGACGTGTCATCGAATGCAATGGATCGATGGTCGAATGGATGGTCGACAAATAAGGTCCGGTCTGTCAGTGTCTGCAGGAGGCTAGCTACGGGGCACAGCACATACCGCATCAGCCGCTGCGCCGACTGATCGGTGCTTGCTACACGCACTCCTTCGCTTGCTCGTCTACCTACTGTACACCCACACACCCATTGACACACACAGCAAGCCCCACAGACGGCCACCATATGCACATATCTCCCCTCCCAAGTGTGTAGCAAACAAACCGACAAACCTCACACACTTGTGTCTGTCAGCCAGCGGGCCGTATTCCCATCACCCTCTCCATGGTGTCGTCTAGCAGTGTGTCCGCATACGCATCATCCCCACCACCACCTGCACCACCACCACCATCCTCACTCTCCTCGCCTCCACCATGATCCACCTGCACCACATCATCCGGTGGTGTCTCGTGCGCGTGCAGATGGGGTTGGGGGTGCGGCTCATGGCTCTCCTCCGGCCCGGCTTCGGCAATGGACGGCTCGGAGGGCCGGAAGGACGCCTGTGACGGCTGCTCCATCCGTCTGTGCACGTCCCTGCTACTGCTGCTGGTGAATGACTCGACGTCGAGGCTGTCATCGACCGCACCGGCAGAGACGTGTTGGTGTTGGCGGGGGGATGGCGTGTCTCCCCTTCTTCTCTCGTGATGGACGAGACGTGGGCTGGTGCTGCTGCTTTCATGTTGGTCATGTTGGTCATGTTGGTCAGGAGATTGGGGTGCCGGCCCTCCCGTAGAGTCCTGCACTTCAACGGCCCGCCGCGTCATGTGCTCACACGCTTCTGCCGGCGGTGACGTGTCTCCACCAAAATGGTTGTTGCCGCTGCTGCCAGTCGAATGCCCACATCCACGCCCCCTCTTGTCTTCAGTGTCCATCTCCACCGCAGCCTCGCTCTCATCAGGCTGCGGTGGGAGGCTGAGAGGGTCAGCAGGCGCCTCACCGCTCGACGGGGTGACGGATTGCTCTGACTCCACTGGTGGCGCCAGCGACCGCCGTGGGGACCTTGAAGGCGACCTGGGCGATGTCTCCTTAAACACGGCCGTCGGAACCAACCCCGGCAGCAATGGGGGCACATCTGCAACCAAGTCGTCCTCATCACCACAACGGAAGAGATGGGCAACCGTACGCTGCTGAGGGCTCTCCGTCGGCGTTTCCTGTTGCGCTGGTTGTGAGCTCTCGTGTGCTGGCTGGGTGTCAAGGGGAATAGCAGGGGGTGGGGGTGGGCCTGGCGGGTCCCGTTTGGGGTGTTGATGGTCAGGGCCACCACCACCACCACCACCACCGCCGGAGCTGTTGTTGGCATTGCGGCTCATGTTGACTATACTGATCAGCGTCTTCCGCTTCTGACAAGAACAAAAGGAGAAATGATCCATGGCGAGAGCCATTGTGTCTCGCCGCATTCATCGGAAGCGACCTTTCTCTTCTCCCAGAGCTTCTGGATGAATCTCGCGGCGAGAAGGTGCCCCACATCAAAGGCGGTATCGTAGTCGTCCAGTTCGGGGAATTGCTTCTTCCAAGCGTCGACTAGCTCTCCCGACAGCTCGACGCTCTCCTCTGCCTGTGGGTTCCAGGGGTTGGACTTGGAGAGGTACGTGCAGGCACGACGCACGACGTTGATGATGACGTCATGCAGATGCACCCTGCTCGATGGAAGGATGCCATGTAGAAAGACAGAGAGAGAGAGGGACGAGTGTGTTTTCGTGTGTGTACCTGGTTCCGTAGATGGGGAGTTGGTTGGCAGCGAGTATGGACATCATGCGTTTAAACCTGACGGCCTTGGTGCCCTGGAACTCGCCGCGGAACCCCACAGGGAACTGAATCTTGTCCAGGATGACCAGAAAGTCATAGATGTCGATCCACCTTCACAAAGAGAGACACGTGTGCACGCGCAGAGAGAGACAGAGATGTGGACACACAAGTGTGTTGTGTTGTGCGCACCGTTCCCCTTTGGAGTGCTCCATCCACATGCTCATGAACTGTTCATGCTGGTTCCGTATCCTCTCCAGGTTGTCTTCGGCCACCGTCTCGCTGAAGCCCTCGAGGACAGCGGCGATGAACAAGTTCATCATAACAAAGGACACGAGGAGCATGAAGGACAGGAAGTAGATGTAGGCCAGCCACGTGCCGCCGCTGTTGTTGGCACAGTCGTACATCAGCTCGTGCCAGTCTTCACCTGAAGATTGCAATCAATTTATGAGCAGTTCTTCTGTCTGTGTTTCCATAGACAAAGGGAGCTTCCTTCCTTGCCAGTGGCGATGCGCAATAAGACCAGCAAAGAGTCCCCGAACCGCCTGAAGTTGGCGTATCTGTTGAGGTGTTCGCCCCACTCGACCAGGCCGAAGAGAGACATACCCAGGACAGCATAAATGAAGAACAGCAGAAACACAAGACCTGACAGTCAGTATGACACCCATGAAGCGATCCACGCGCACACAATGTGCTGTGGGCGTCTGTGTACTTGCGATGTTTCCGAGAGAGGGGATGACATTGAGCATGGTCTGGAAGAGCACTCGCAGCCCGGCCGCCTGCCGGATCAGACGCAGCACCCTCCCTATGCGAAACGCACGAAGCATCGTGGCCATCGTCGACAAATTGGACCCTATGTGTGTATGGATGGAGCAAGCAGACAAATGGCCATCCACTGCACTGCTGTGTGTGGCTGTGCTGTGTGGTTGTGGCAGGCTGACGGATGTTTTCAGATTGGAGGGCGATGACGATCAGCGTGACATCGGTGCCGACCACAATCATGAAGTCGAAGGTGTTCCAGGGGTCCTTCCAGTAGAGACGGCTGAATATCAGCAGCTTCACTGCCGCCTCCAGGTTGAATATTACCGCAAACACCTACTATCGAACACGCCATGTCTCTCTTATTGTGTGTGCCTTTGGTTGTTCTTCTCGTGTCTCACTATGTTGAGGGTCTCGAGTGTTTGTGCGAAGCTGTTGCTCATGGTGGCGTGGCGCATGCACATGACGGCCGTGTTGAGGGTGATGATGAACATGATCGAAAATTCAAACCCACGCGAAGCCACGATCGGCGCAAAGTGCGTGCGAAAGGCCTGCAGCCAAGCCAGGCTGACCACACACGTAGAAACACAGGAGGAAAGGTGTACATCCGTCAGTCTCTCTCTCTTCCCCTCTTACTTGCTCTTCGGGAACTGAAGTGTCTTTTTCTCGAGTATCCTCTGTTGGAAGAGCATCCGTTGGACCTCCTTCCACTTGCGCTGGTTCTCCGTCATGAATGGCCCGCCCTCCATCTCCTCCTTCATCTGCTGGAACTGGTCGATGATGACCCCCACAAACAAATTGATCGAGAAGAAGTTGCCCACCACGATGAACGCCACGAAGTACAGTGCCGCCCAGGGGGAGCGGTGCATGTTGCGGTCCGACTTGGGATACTTGCCGGGCGAGGCCGCGTCAACGCCGTCGTACATGGTGTCGATCCATCCTTCCGTTGTGCTCACCTGCACCCACCACACACGAATGGAGCCACGCAAAGAGAGGGTGGAAGAGGCCTACTTGGAAGAGTGTGACCATCGCCCTGTAGACGTTGTCGAAGTTGGAGTCCGCCACCACCAGGTTGAGTGAGTCGTCGCTCTTGCAGGCCGCCCTGTCCACCTCAACCTCATTTCCTGCATCGTCGTAGCACGCGTAGAAGGCGCCCTTGAACAGATTCACCCCCAAAATGGCGAAAATCAGATACATCAGGAAGCAAATCATGAACACGTTGGCCAGCGATGGGATGGAGGAGAGCAGCGAGTCCACCACGAGCTTGATGCCGCTGCTGCGGGAAATGATACGCAGAGGCCGGAAAGCACGAAACGATTTGAGCACACGCAGGGCCCTGAAGGCCAGGAGGGAGGAGGTGTCGAAGCCACTGTCCTGCCCGGAGCTCTCCATCTGCCCGAAGATGAATGTCAGCAGAGACGTCGTCACGACCACGAAATCGAGCCAGTTCCATCCCACTCTGCACGTGCAAACAAAGGAGCACGGCCGCACATGAGACGACATACAGAGAGAGAGACATGCATTTGCATGCTGACCGGAAGTATGAGTTGCTGCTCTCAAACAAGAGGCCGAATGCAAACCACTTCAGTAGCATCTCAGCGACGAATGTGAAGGTGAGGACCACATCGATGTGCCACACGGCCTGGCCGAAGTCGCTGTTCGGGTCGATCTCGGGGTGCGCAACCGCCATGAGAATTGACGAGGCGAGGATCAGACTCATGATTATCGCATCAAACCTGCCATTCACGCACACACACACACACACACACATCCTCTCTGCCTGTCTCTCTCTATCTCTGTCCGTGTGTGTGTGTGTGTGTGTGTATTCCTCACTTGGCGTTCGTCACAATCGCCCGGCAGACCTGTCGAAATGTCCGCCAGTATCTCTCGACGGCTCCGAGCCCTACTGGTGATAGCGTCGTCCTGACTCTCTTCTTGCGTATTGGTATAGGTGGTTTGGTGGGTGCTTCAGGCACGATGCTGAGGGCCACTGACGCCCTGGCTGCGGCACGCTCCATTGGGGAGTCCTCGAATATGGTGCTGGGGAGCACCATGGCTTGATGATGACCCTTCTTGCCTCCGTAGAGAAGAAGGTCCTCTTCCTGCTCGGCCTGCCTGTGGCAAGACACACATGTCGTGCAGATGCGTTGTGTGAGATGTACACTGTGCTTTTGTTACTCACTCCATTGCGCCCGCTTCGATGCTTCGCTGAAAGCGACACAAAGACACACACTTGCCGCACCAAGAGCTTCTGGCGCTTAAATGTTCCGTCACCTGTTTCATGAGCAGGTAAGGTCTCGGGTCCGTCGGGATGTCCCGCCCCGCCAGTGCCTTGCCCACGTCGGTGGCCACATTGGACACTGTCCGCCGCACGGCCGTCCACGCCTCAGCCAGGTGCGACTGCCACGTCAGCAAGGCGCCACTCTTCTTGTCTTGTGTGATTAATGGGTTGATGCCACCACCCACAGGCGCGCCGAGACCTGACTCGAGCATGCCGAGTGAGTGACTAGAGGCGTCCGGGCCGATCGTGTGTCTCCGCAACACTTTGCGGGATGACGATCGGACCACCATTGAGCGATCTGGGGCAACAGAAAGGAGTGCAGATTCGTGGGTGATGTTTTTTGGCTCTTACCTGTTGGCAGCGCGTCAGACGGGGGCAGCGCTGCCGGCGTCTCCTTGTCTTTGTCGACGTGTCTGCTGCTGTCGTCTGCTTCTATCACCACAAACGGCAGGGAAGACTGACATACACTCAATACAAGCAAGCCATGGGTATACTTTTTCGTCTCTCTGAGGCATGACCTCCCTTCGTTCGTCCATTACCCGCCTCGCCGCAGCGGCAATGTCGTCTGTCGGCGGAGCGAAGTTGACCTGCCTCTTCTCGAGCGAAGACCGCCGCCTTTCCCTCTCTGTATCCCTTTCCCTCTCACCCTCGTCAACCTCACCTTGAACCCCAGCCGCCTCAGGACTGTCCAGTGTCTCGGTCGACGGCTGGTCATCCGACACACGATGTGATGATGCGATCTGCGGGTGTGGCTCGCCGACGGGGAGGCTCCTGGCCGAACGAGAGAGGGCCGCTTCATCGCCGGTATCTGCGAGTGTGAGTGTGTCGGCGCCCATCGTTCTTCGAAGGAGCTGTGTGGGGAGTTTGCCCTGGCGCTTCATCTCCCGCAGCTGAGCTATCAGCCATGACTTCTCGTCGGCAGCCCGCTTGTGCAGATTCCTGCGCGACACTTTCGATGCTACACACACACCACACTTAGCATTGCTACACCCACAACACATCACCTCTTTCTCTGTCTATCCGTACATGGTGATTTGATGACTGTTGCCGCCCTTCTCAGGTGGTCTCTGGGCTGTTCGGGTGACGGCGCCCCATCCGTCAGACCAGTGCGCTTCCTCCCGGGCAGTGGCAGCATCGGCGAAGGCATGCTGACTGGCGTCTCTGACGGTGGAGGGGGCCCTTCGTGGTTGTCTGTGATAGGCTCGGGTGACTGAAGGTCTTCTGGCGGGAGCTTGAACGAGTCCTCCTCCTTTCGCACATCGAGGTCTGAGTAGCTCCGGTGCTGTAGACAGAGAGGAGACATGTACAGATGGGTGGACGGTCTCTCACTTCACTCCGTGCAGACAGACCAGTGTGGGAGGCCCGGCGATGGTCTTGGCTCGTGCCCTCCTCTGCCCCTCCCGCATGAAGGACGACATCAGCCGCAGCTTGCCCATCAGACCGCCAACACCTCTCTCACTCGGGCTCCCACCGATGGCCGATCGTGGGCTGAATGAGCTCTCCGCGTATGACTCTCCCTCTCCCCTGTCGCTCTCGAGGTCCTCGGCAGTCACGCCCATCTTTTGGCAGAGTTCGATGAAGTTGAGGAGGTATGTCTTGAATGTCTGTGTGCGGGCGTCGGTGAATGAGCCCAGGAGGATGGCGAGGAAGAGGTTGAGCAGGATGAGGTTGCCCACGATAAGCAGAAGCACGAAGTAGATGAGGCTGTAGTAACCCACGTGGCGAATCGTCTGCAGAAAGAGAGACAAATGAAACGAACGAAGAAATGCTTCCACACAAAGCAGCATGTGGGTTTTAACCTTGATCATGACTTCGTTCCAGTTTTCGCCCGAGAGTACGATGAACACGGTGATGAAAGAGTTGAAGAAGTTGTCGAAGTTCTCCCGCCGATCCTCGCCCTTGCCAGACGGCAACTTGCCCGCAAAGAGCGTCATGCCTGCATATGGATTGCAGCAGTGTACTGATTGATGTGCGTGTGTGTGCGTGTCTTGGCTGACCGATGAGAGTGTATATGTAAAGGAAGAGGAAGAGCAGGAAGCAGAAGTTGCTCATCGCCCCGACAGCTTTCCCAAGCACCTCAAGCAATATACGCAGAGACTGCACAGCACACAGACCAAGCGCCCTCACACAATGACCCACTTTACTGTGAGTATGTCTCAGTGATGTGATTGATTGGCTGACCGTCCAGTTGCGTGCGAGTTTTAGAATGCGCAGCAGCCTGAATGTCCTGAATGCCGACGCACCCGCACCGCCAGGCTGCGTCAGCTCGACGATCGAAAAGATCACCACAACCGAATCTGACAAAGACGAGAAGGGCACTTGCAAAGGTGTTGTGTGGATCTCTCCCACTCAGTCACTGACCGAAAATGTTAAATGAGTCCCTGAAGAATCCCCGCCCGAAGCCGATGAGCTTCAACAGAATCTCCACAGAGAATATCACCTGCACGTGCGCACACCACACAATAGCATAAAGACAAATCGCAGCCTCTGGAAACGGTGGCGGCCCACGTACGGTGAATGCGAGGTTCATATTCTCGAAAGTGGTTTGTTGTGCGGGTGAGATTGGGTTATCGTCGTCGTATCGGTCGAGTGCGAGGATGATGGTGTTGGCCAAGATGCATATTACCATCAGGAAAATGAACAGCGGGGAGGTCGATATCTGACACACATCGTGCAGAGACACACAAGTCAAGCGTGTTTGTTTGCGTCGGTGATATCAGTGTCGCTTGCCGTGTAGCAGAATGTCCTGACTGCACTGCATAGCATATGCATACAAACACAAACAGACAGACGTTTATGGTATGGGTGAGCGTGGCGTATGTATGCATTTGAAGGGCTGCCTTCCTGTTTACACGACAATTCGTGTGCTCAGCGGCTCCTCAGTGGCCTCAGAGAGGAAGGAGCCGGCCGAGTAGCCATCACCACTGTTGCCACCACGCACAGACGGACTCCTACTCGCGTCGCCCTTCTGCATTCACACAACCGATGTGTATCCCTCTCTCTGTCTGTCTCTCTCTGTCTGCGTGCAGGTGGCTGACCGACCGATGAGAAGGATTTGAACCTCATCTGCAGGTTCTTCTCATCGATGGCCTTGATGACCTGCGCCAGGCTCTTCATCCAGGCATGCCCCACCGACGCGAACAGCTTGTCGTTCACTTTGGCCTCCTCGCTCGTCGGCTGCTCCATCTGACGCTTGCGCGCGTTGTCCTCGAACCGCTCCCACAACACGGCCAAAGTGAGGTTGACCACAAACACCGCACCGAGGAGGATCAGCAGAGAGAAGTAGACTGACGCGAACCACTTGCTGTAGGAGTCCTGAAACCTGCGTGTGTTTGCTGGTGGTGTGGGAGTCGCTGTATGTGATTGCTGCCTTGTTTGGTTGTCTGTCGTCTTACTTGTACATTTGCTCGACCCATCCCTCCAGCGTGATGCACTGAAACACCGTCAGAAACGCCGTACCCATGTGCTGAAATCCTGCACCCTCACACACACCAACACACAAAACAACACCACATTGAAGCGCCTATGTCTCCCTCTGTGTCTGTGTGTCTCCATGACTCACCAGTGACGCCGTAGTCTGCCGATTCGCCCACAAGTGAGTCCGACAGCTCTGAGTAGTAGCTGCTGTAGTTGGTGTTATAGAGTGTGTCGAAGTCGGCGTCGAGCAGGTTGCGGCAGAAGGTGGTGCGCTTGTCGGGGTTTTTGCAGCGGTATGCGGCGCCGCAGAAGAAGTCCAGCTGGTGCGGATCGATCTCCCACAGGCCATCCACTGGCCGGACGGTGAACCGACACCTGCGCAATACACAGACACATACGGAAGGAATCTGTTTGTCTACGTGTCTCCTTGTCACACACAAGAGAGACACAGGAAGACAGCCTATCTGTGTGTGTGTGTGATATTCATGCCACTTGCCTGTTCCAGTAAGTGCGTTCGAAGAGGTTGATGCCGAGGATGGCAAAGAGGCCCAGCACAAAACACGCCAAGAGGAACAGATTGCCCAGCTTCGGCAGAGACTGAAACAATGTCGCCACAATAATCCTCATCCCTGGAAGCGCATTCAGCGACCTCAACGGACGGAACGCCTAACCACACAGACACACGCATACAGACACGCGCGTACGACAAAATCTTTCCTGCCGCGTGCATGTCTCACCCTGAATGTCCTGAGCACATTGATTTTTTTGAGTGCCGGCACGCTCTGCAGAGCGTATCCGAGGTCGGCCGAGAGCACCACGAAGAAGTCCAGCCAGTTCCAGGCGTCCTTGAGGTAAGCCCCCGGCCCCAACACAAACCCCCGACTCACAATCTTGACGGCCATCTCGAGGTTGAACACCACCGTGAAGAAAATGTCCAAGTCGTCCAGGAAGGCCTTGACCTCTTGTTTCTGGTCGTGGCCGTAGAAGGCCAGAGAGATGGAGTTAAGTACGATGCAGAGCAAGATGGCCCTCTCGAACCACACAAACTCGGTCAGCCACACACACCAATAGCGAAACTTGTTCTTGTCGCTGAACACAAACAGAGAGTACTCGGGGAACCGCAGCTGCTTGCCGTGGATGATGTAGTTGAAGGGTTGGCCGTCCCTCAGACCGCTCTTGCTGTGTCGCCGCTTCCACACATGGGAGAAAAACGACAGAGCACTGTCGCGCGCCTTCAGTGTTCGTAAAGAGACCATCTGGACGACGGGAAAGCGGTTTAAGAAGGGCGCCGCAGCTGGCCCGGCTGCAGCTGCGGAGCTGCTGCTGGTGCGAACGCTGCCACATCCGGCGTCCAAGAGGAAAGGAGCCACCGGTGTGTGAGTGCTGCCGGACCTCATGGGACTGATCACGCTGCACAGACGAGACGAGAAACCATGCTGTGTGCGCGGAACACCGTTGCATGCGTTTCGGCCCCCATGGCCCCCAAGCTCGCAGAATTCTCCTCCCGCTCCAAAATCCGACAATTCTGCGAGACCCAAGGCCCTTTTCTCGAGTGGCTGAGCCCCCTGGCAGCGCGCCCTTCACAAGTGGGTGTTCAGGATGGCCGCCAACCCCCGTTTGTTGATCAGGGCGAGGGACCTGACCATCAATGAGAATGACAAGCCCCTCGGTCGGCGCAACAGCCGCCAGATGGCCCGATTGCACCCCCCCTCCCGACCCGACGCTCTTGTTGTCTGCTGGTTGTGTGCTGTGTTGTCATGACTCGTATCGATCATGTACTGTAGGGAGCGGGGGCTTCGGGGTGGTCTACAAGGGGCTGTGGAAGGGGCGGCCCGTGGCCGTCAAGATCATGAATGTCGACAAGTTGAGGGCGGACGCCAGCAGGGGCACCGGGGAAGACGTCGACGATGAGGTGAGCGGCTGAACTCCCGTCACTGCATTGTGTGCCGTCTGTATTGGTGTGGCGTGTAGGACCTGATGGCTGGGGCGATGGAGGATATTCTGGCCGAGGCTCAGGAGATGCAGCACCTCCGCCACCCCAACATAGTTGAGTTCCTGGGCGTCTGCACACACAGGAAATACGGCCTCGTGATCGTCACAGGTCGGCCTCTTTCGGACTTTGTCAATGGGCATCTTAAGTGTCTGTCTTTGTGGATCAGAGTTGTGTGAGGGCGGCTCACTGGAGCAATACCTGGCCAAGAACCGACCGCTGAAGCCGGACGTCCGCGACAAATTCGTCAGAGAGGTGCAGCAGAGCGGACGAACGGGACACACCGACCGCCACCTGTCGTCTGTGTCTGTCTTTGTCAGATATGTGAGGGTCTGCAGTATCTTCACGATAACGGCATCATGCACAGGGACCTGAAGCCTGGAAACCTTCTGGTGAGGACACAGTGTTCTTTGCCGCTCTCTATGGGGCGCCTTTTGGTTGCTTCGTCTCTCCCTCCCGTGTGTCAGTTGGGTCAGGGTTTGACCATTAAGATATCTGACTTCGGTATGACGCGCAGCATCCAGAGGACAACTACAGTCGCCGGAGGTACACGAAGACAGGCACAGAACCGCTAAGAGGCTGAATTGACCACAATCTTGAGACGTATCTTGAGTGCGCTGCAGGAGGGGGCACGCCCAACTATATGTCCCCCGAGTCCCTGAAGGATGAATGTAAGTGTGAGAATCGAATTTGTCGGCGATCTTCACTCGTCCGTCTCTCTCTCTCTCTCTCTCTGTGTTTCAGTGGAGAAGCTCTCTGAGAAAGACGACATCTGGGCCCTGGGAGGAAGTAAGCAGACGTGTCGCCAGACACTGGTGCACAATCTCTCGCTATTCAATACTGTGCGCTTCTATGCTTCAGTACTGGCTGAGCTGTTTGGAGGTCAGCAGGTCTGCATAATCTGCGCAGCGTTTTCCAGTGTTGTGGTGTTCAGGCCGGCCTCCCTTCGAGGGTAAGGTCCACGTGCAGATCATCACTGCAGTTGTCGTGCAGGGAAAGGTGACTGTCCTTTTCCTGACACCCGAGCCAAACATCCCTGTTTCTCTTCCTCCCCTCTGTCAGATCCCTGACATTCCCAGTTCCCTGCCCCAACACACCAAGGAGGCCATCAAGGCACATGAAAACGAAAGCGGCCTTATGGACACTGTGTCTCGCGCCATTGCCGCTCTGTGTCGATCAGAGTTGTTTTGCGTTCAATCCGGTCGATCGCCCCGCAGCGAAGGAGGTATTCGACATACAATTGAGATAAGCGTACGTCATGGCAGTTTGCCGCATCTGACTCGCCCGCAGGTGCTCGCGAAGCTCGGCATTTCATCGGGTCAGTCAACAGTATAAGAAAGGACAGCCCATTGCCGTGGCGCGTCGTCGAATGCATGCAGATGCGGCGCCCAATGGGCTGTCCGTGAGTCCCGCTGGCGTGTCGCCTATCAGTCCCACATCGGGTGTGCACACCAGCATGGCCACTACCACAACGGGGCTTCCCAGCACGGTCTCTCCCGCACAGATCAAGCCTGTGGTGCAAACAGGTCGGTATATGAGGCAGCGGCAGAGAGAGGCATTCCACTTGATCTGCGTGTGTTGTAGCGTCCCCTGGTCAGCCTGACGCATCAGTCAAGTCACCTCCAGACGCACCACAGCCGCAAACCAAACCAGTGAGAGAGCCGTTGTCTCAATGGCAAGCATTATTTTTTCGCTCTTGCATGTCAGGCGGACACCGGCCTGAGAATCGATAATGAAGCCCTCCCGACGAAAATCAAACGGGTAATACCGAAAGAGCTCTGATCGTTCACGTCTGACACAGTCGCTTGTATGTGATGTATATTGTGTGTTGAAGAGGAACATTTTTTCTGCGGTGTTAGCTGGTGACGTCACGTCTGTTGCTCAGCTAATCAAGCTGCACGAACCGAGCATCCTCGACGAGGAAGAAGTCAAGTGCTTCTGCTGCAAAGTGACGCTGATTGAGATGAATGTTTGTGTTGGCTGTGATGGAATGTAAAAGGATGATAACGCCATCCATTGGGCTGCCCAGGAGAGGCGTATTGCGGCTGTCAATCAGCTGCTGGCGTGGGATCCCAAACTGATCGATGCACGCGGCAGGGTAACAGCACACACATGTCTCTGCGCCTCAGTTGCCGATTGTGTGTGAGTGTGTGTGTGTGTGGATTGCAGGGGGGCAAGACGCCATTCATGAAGGCTGCCCTCTATGGTCATGTCGATGTGATGAAGGTTCTGTATGCCAAAGGAGGGGAAAGGCTGCTCACCGAGACAAACAATGTGAGACCTCACCTGCGAAAAAATACAGAATGCCTCTTGGTTGTTTGATTGCCTTTCTCTGTGTGCGTGACACACACAGAACGGATTCACGCCACTCCATTTGGCTGCAGGCGGGGTCCACTCTGCCGCTGTGTCTCAGTTGTGAGCGACACAGATGACTGACGCGAGTGTCTCATTCACACTCTCTCTGTGTCTGCCTCTGTGTCATTCTCAAAGGCTCGAGTGGGGCGGCGGTGCTCTGCTCGACATCAAAGGCAACGACGTGAGTACACACAGACATTCACACCATCGATGGGCCGAGTCATGTGCTCATCTCATCTCATCTCATGACGACAGAGGGAGACCCCGTGGGATTGGGCGAAAGGAAGGACGGAGATCAGAAAGATCATGGAGAAGTACAAGCGATAGTCACTGTGATGGCTGTGGTCTTATTCCATTGTGTGTTGAGTCTAATGTGTGTGTGACGGGATGGTCGACTTGCTGAGTGCATAGGATGTGCTCATCGGTCAATTGAGCTCCCACCCAGACCACAAAAAAGCCTGGCAGCGCCTTCCTACCTGCGTGTTGAGTGAGTGAGGGGGGCGTCTAGTGCACTCTCTCCTTTGGTCGGCTGTGGTGTACTGCTGGTGGTCGTCCGTCCGTCCGTCCGTCTGTCTGTCTGTCTCTATCGAGTTGCATTCACGTGCACCATCAGAAACGGCGCATATATTGCATTCACGTGTTGTTGTATGTATCTACAGCCCGGCCACTCGATCACAAATTGATTGACCCATGCGATGCGAACACACATGTCGGCCAGGCAGAGAAATAGAGTCAGTCACTCGACGGACTCACACGTACTACCAGACACACACACATCTCTCAACGAAAGGCAGCTGACCATATGTGCTCGATGGATCGACGGTGGGGTGTCTGTCTGTCATGGCGGCATGATGTCCAGGGTGCTGCTGGCCGGGAACTGGGCGAGCCTTCGCCGAAAGGCGGGCACCCCGATGAACTTGGGGAACACGGCTGACGACAGCCACTGACGCACCTGCTGGGCTGCACACACACAGACACACGCAGAGCATTGTGTGCGTGGCTCTGTGTGTGTGGGTCAGTGCAGTGAGTCGCCTCACTTCACTCACCTTTGGCAGTGTCGAGCTCTTCGACTTCCCTTTGTGTCGCAGCGGCCTCAGAGCCATCACTATCACCCCGCCGCAAAGCCGCCATGCTCAGCCTTCTCCCATCCCCATCTGCTGCTGCTGTGGTGGGCGAGTTGCCTTGGTCACCGCTCCAGCTCATGGAGATGTGTGGCTCGCTGGGGCTGTGTGCCAGTGTCGCTTTCGGCAAGCCGTCATTAGACTCTTCCCGACCCACCACCATCACCACCCCATCGTCAGCCGTCTCCGAGCGCTTCGCCGTCTTGCTGCTGACTTTGCTTGTGTCGGTGCGTGTGTCCTCCTCAGGTGCGCTGAGGTGGCCAGAGTCATCAAGATGGTCATGATGGTCGTCGCGGTAGACGAGAGAAGGGCCTGCCATGTCCATCTCTGCCGCCTTGGTGGGGCTGTGGCTCTTGCCGCGCTTGTTGGGCTGATCCATGGCTTTATTGTCGTTGGCGTAGGTGTGGGTGGATGTGTCGAAGGGGTCAGGACAGGCCACATGAGCGATGTGAGATGACGCCCGAGCCTCCTGGAAAGCCTCGTCGAGGGCGGTGGTGGTGTGTTGGCTCCCTCCTTCGGGCACCTCTGTGGCGGTCATGACGATCGCCATGTGGTGGTCTTGCTGTTGTTCCGCCGCTGCTGCTGTTGCTGACGCTGGTGTTGACTCGGGAATGGGGGCGGGGGTGAGGTCGCCTCGGAGAGGCTGAGTGGTGGTGCTGGTGGGGGTGGGGGGGGCCCTCCGTTCTCTGTCTCTGTCTCGGTCTTTGTCTTTGTCTCGTGTGGCGTGTCTGCTGTGCCGTCTTGACGGCCGCTGCTGCTGGCGTGATGGCGTCGTGCGGTTGCGGCTGAAGGCGTCATTGCGGTAGCGCATTATGTAGCTCTTGACGTCATCAAAGGTGAACCCTACACGGTGGCACGCACACACACAGAGAGACATACAGGGGGAGAGAGGTGTGGGTGTGCTGTGCCTGTATGTGAGGTGGATTGCAGGGCGGACAATCGGACGGACCTGCAGGCCATTCGCGTGGGCTCGTGTCCCGGATGTTCTGGACGAAGTCCAGCAGCAGCTGCCTGCTCTCCTGGCACTCGAGAGTGCCGTCCAGCTCCATCATGGAAGCCAGGTAGTCCAGCTGCCGGTTCGCCCGACGCACCTCCGCCTCCATTATGGACTGACGGACCAAACAAACATGCATTCACACACAGACAGTGTAGTGACCCACACACACCTGTGTGTGCCACCTTACTCGTTCGGCCTGCACGAGGAGGTCCTGTTCCTTGATGAGTGCGGCTTGTTTGGCGATGGCGACGAGCCAGCCGTCCCGGTCGCCGCTGGTCTTGACGCGGAAGAAGTAGTGCCGGCTGCTCGTCACCAGGTGGAAGATGCGCTTGTCCTCGGGCACCTCCAACACCTGATGGACGAAGACCACGGCATAGACAGACGAATGTGCATGTCAGGTCGGTCTGTGTGTGTGGGTGGGAAGGATCAGATCATGGGTGTGGTGTGTGATGTGACTATCTATGACCTTTTCGCAGTCGGACAAGGGGATGCAGACGCGTGTGCGTGACCTGTGCGGGTCCTGATTATAAGGACACACACCATCTCATGTGTCTGTGTGCATGGCATTCGTTGGATGGATGGATGGATGGCGGGCCAATCTCACCTTGCAGTACCAGACCCCATCAGGCTGCAGGATGACGTGCCGCACCTTCCACTGCGTCCCGTCCTTGCTCAGCTTCTCAAGCCAGCCCGTCCGCAAACCCTGCACACAACAAAGAAGACACACATATAACATACACACGGATCCCCTCCTCGGCAACACAGAATGCCTTTCTGTATTGTCCAATCTGCGGACCTTTTCGAGTTTCTCCTGTACAGCTGAGAGGTCGATCTCCGACTCCATTCTGTCCCTCGCCAGCATGAAGTCCTCCGCAGCACCGTGATGATGATGCACAGGCGACCCTGACGCCGCCACACGGCCGTTCTGACGCGCCTGCTGCTTCTGGGCGTCGCGGGATGGCGACGCTGCTGCTGCTGCTGCTGGTGCTGGTGGAGAGGAAGGGCCACCACCCACACCAGAACCCTAACACACACAGGATGGACACACACACAGAGAGAGAGAGAGAGATGCTGACACACGCATGACTCTTCTCTGCCAGTCACCTCTTGCGGCGTCATGAGTGTCATCAACGCGTCGGTCCTGGCCCGTCTGAGCGCACCGATGCCCTCGTCAGTCACACTCACCGCCTCAGGCACCGTCACGCTCCTCCTTCCACCCCTCTCAGACGCGTGTGTGTCCTCTCTGAGCAGAAACTTCAGCGAAGAAGCGCCGACCTCCTGCTGGATTGCCAAAGGCAAAGCGGATGGTGCCAGCCTGCAGACACACAGACAGGCAGGCAGACGTGGGCTGTGTGTGTTGTGTTTGTGTGTGTGAGAGTGAGTGCTGACTGGTGGCAGTGCGTTGAGTGGTGGCCCGGTGTGACGATGTAGAGATGACACGGCGGGTTCTCGGTGTGTTTGGCCGCCGCTGCGGACACTGTCAGGCTTTTCTTCCTCAGCAGCAGCTCACACACCTGGCTGCACGCACAACACAATCACAGTGTGACAGACAGACAGAATGACAAACAATACAGGCGTCACGATGGCTTGTGTGGATTGACGGCTGACTGACGTTGCAGTGGTGTGCTGCGGCACGTGTAGCGTGTAGTAGGTGTTGTCCGGGTGACAGTACACCCTCAACGGATAAGTAATGACCTGCATACACGCAGACAAACACAAACAAGCAAGCCGATGAAGTGATTCTCTGCCTGATTTGAGGTGAGCATCTTCCTTCGCTCATTCTTTGGAGTGCTGCTCGGGTTGCTTGCCTCTGCGTGTCCGTGTGATTGATCTCTGCTGGCGTTGCTGCCGTGCTTGTTTCCCTTGGTGGCGTCCTGATGAGTCACTCGTCTGTCTGCTCGCAAAGATGGGCCATCTTTCATATCCATCACATGCGCTGCATCATCACATACTCATCCATCCTCCAAGCCCTCTCCTTGTGGACCTCAACTTTCAAGCCCGCAATTGTGCTGGAGGAGGAGCGGAACGGATGGGGGGGGAAACTGTCATTAACCGTAACACTCGTCTGTGTGTCCGTGATACTCATACAAATACAGTCCCATCAGCACGCAGAGTCAAACAGGCTCAAGGGGAGGAGGGATCAATCCCCGCCCCATCAGCACACCCCAGTCCCGCAAACCCTCCCCTCCCTCCCCCACGCAGACAGAAGCTAGTCGCACGCGCGAGGGCGATAGACAAGCGAGAGCGAATCCATCCAGACACATGACTGAACCCCCGACCCTTCCACCCCTCCTTCTCCAACAGCGCATGAGCCATGTGGGCGATGAACACGTTGGCATCGTGTCCCCACACACCGTCACACGTCACCACCAGAGGGCAGAAGGTCACGCGGGAGTCGCAGACGGCCGAGCGGTATTTCTTCTTCTTGGCGGTCTCGTGCTGCTTCAGGATGGACTTGGTCGATCGGTTCTTGGAAGCGTAAGACGTTGCGTCAGGATCCGTAATACAGATGTCAAACGACGCAGCCGCCTGCCGCTCCCACACGCCCCGAGCGACGATGTCCGCCCTGACCCCACCCTCCCCCTCCTCTCCCTCCTTCAACACCACCTCCCGACGCACACCAGCGTCCCCCCACGCCATCCCAATCAGCTCGGCAAAAGTGTCCCGCAGCTCGTCGTGGCGACGAATCACCAGGCCGTACCGCTTGCAGCACAGCGCATGGTCGACGGTGAGGGGCTGGTTGCAGTGGTCGCAGCGTGCAGCGAGGCCGGGGGGGTGACGGCCGTAACGCATGTTGAGGGCATCTCGAAACTCCGCAGCATCAAGACCAGTGTTGTTGTCTGTCGACGGGAGGGTGGTCAGCCAGCCGGACGTCTTGTACTCGGCGCTGCGGGAGAGGACGCGATGGCGCCGGCGGTCGATGTGCGGCAGGGCGGCCTCCCTCTTGGTCTTGTGGGCGACGTCCTGCTGCTGCTTGCTCCGGGTGAGGGCGTGGCGGATGGTGGCACGATGGTCGCCAGGGTGGAACGGAGCCTTGCCTTGGACGGACTTGGAGACCACCTTGGTGCTCGCGCGGGAAGCGGGGTAGGCGGCTGCGGCACGGTCGAGAGGGTCACGTATGCCGGTGCCGCCATGCCGGGCAGGCAGCAGCATCAGGTCGACCTCGGACGGCGTCACAGGGCCGCCGAGGAGGGCCGGCAGCAGCTCCTTGGCGATGGCCTCGCGGAGGGGGCTGAGAGCGCACTCGTCGGTGAGCACGACGCGAAAGACGTAGTCCCACTCCATCTGCAGAGACCTCGTCATTGCCGCGTGGGCCGTGTGTGGGAAGTTGCGGGCAGCAGACGTGAGCGCGCGCACGCCGCGCACCCACCCCTCGACCTTCTCGCAGAGGAACGCCGCCCTTCCCCCCTCATCGCCCACGTAGCCGCCCAGGAACCTCTTGCCCGTGACGATCTGCACCCCCTCGGGCTCGAAGAGTTCCCTTGCGATCTGCTCGAGCTCGGGTTTGACGACGAGGAAGGACTTGGCGGTCTCTGGGTGATAGCCGTATGAGGGACCGATGCGACGCAGGGCTCGAAACCACACGAGGATGCCGTGAAGTTTGCCGAGCGCCGACGAGTCATCCGC